ACATGTGATGAAGACACAGGGTAGAAAATAGCCCCAGGAGCAGAGGATGATGACTAAAAACCTGAAGGTCTACGTGCAGTGGAGTTTAAGAGGCTGAATAAAGACTGAAAGAAGGCCCACATGTTTTGGAGTCAGCGCAGCCTTAATTGAGTATCTGAATAACAGGATACAGTAGATTTGTGTAGAAAATTCTACATACAGCCTCAGGAGTGAGGGAGCAGGAAGGTCAGGTCAGGCTGGTGCGGTATGTCCGGTTCACAAAGAAGAAAATGGTTAAATTACCACAAAGGGACTTTTGAACTATGAGTTGTGAAAATGTGTAGCAGAGCACTGAAAGGTCTCTACCAGAAAATTGGACAGCTTCTTTTTCTTTTGTGGCATTTTATTAAGCTTTCTAAGCACTCAAGATAACACGTGATGATTTGGTAATATCTGCCTAGTGAGAAGGCTCAGAACAAACCTACCATCTCTGATGATTTTCTCCTTATCTTCATTCACCTCCTTTGGGTGAAAGTTCTGTGAACTTTTTCCACCTGTGGCAAGACATGCATGCCTATCAGCACTTCAAATAAAAACTGAAACAAAGCAGGAACTTAGTGCAGGAGAGTGGAGTTTGTTAGCTGATTGAAGACTGGGAGCAAAATGTTTAAACAATACATTTATGAGTTTGTTGTTTGGGGTTTTTTTGGTTTTGATTTGTTATTTTTTTAAAAATGAAAATATTCTAAGAGAAAAGTGAGGATGAATAGAAATGGAGAGATGAGTTGTAAATTCCTCAGGTATATAGCAGTGGGCAGATCTGTCTTCAGTTTAGAGAACAGAACAGGTTGGTATTAAAACTTCATTTCATGTGAATGATAATCCAAAAACTATTTTTGAAGCAGAGCTTTTAAAAAACCACAAATCCTGCTCAGCCAGATTCTGACGTACAGTTGATTATGGCATGGACTGGAAACACTGAATAAAACAAAAAATATAAACCTATTTTTAAACATTTAGATAAATGATATTTCGTTTTGCTAAATCCAACATTTGCACTTGTTTGGTTTTTTCCTGAGTGAACGAATCCAGATTTTTTTTTTCACTTGGCCATAGTTTTATTTTTAAACAGGGCTTCCAGAAATGCATGCGTGTGGGATTGCAGTTGGGACCAGTGGAGAGCCGTGGCACTCTGCCAGGCGCTCGCCCCGTCCCTGCAGTATTGATGGATTGCCAGTGTTCTGGAGAAAAACAACCCCAAAACTTTAAACAAATTACGCTTAATGGAAATAAACTTTTTTTTGCCCTCCTGGCTAATGATTTGGATAATGTGCTGGCTGTGTGTTTCTGGAGGACAGAGGAAGGGCGAAAGGGAGAGGAGGGCAGAGATGGAGCTCTGTATGCCTGTAACGTTCTCCAGCAGATGCTCTGGGAAGGCTATGGGGCAGACTCTGACATTTCTAAGCTTGGAGAATTTTTTAACTCCCAGCCAGTCTTTCTATTAGAAGATGAGCAGGCTAGCTACAGCCAGCTATGATAAGAGCATTTATCTAGAGGGTGTTTTCTTCCATATATGGGTTTGTAAGACCTGGAAAGGCATATGCCTTGTAGCTGGCATTTTCTGTGTACAGCTTTGACACTGTCTTCTATGTCATTCACCTGATTTCTGCTGGGTTTTGATGGTAAGTAATAATGCCATGAAAGCAATACCTGGTTTGTTGGGGTTTTTTTAAATATAAAAATGGTCAAGCAGAGTCAGCTATAGCCTACTTAAATGCACCATAGCCATATCTCTCTGTTTTTAAAGCTGGTGCTGATAAATCTTTTCTCTCACTTCTGTTGCTATGGTGGTAGTTCTGTGCAAAAACAAACCTTTGGGTGATTGTGTCAAATGCAAAGATCATTTGGAGAGAGAGATGCTGAAAGAGAAGGGAAGTAGGAGGGCTCAAATTCCAGCTGATGACAAACAATGAATCAGTGTTTGTCTCAGCAGAGGGCCATCAGAAATTTCGCAGTCTACTTCTACTTTCACTGACTTCTGCTTTGGTCTGATACTCCACTTGAAAAGGCTTCCCCACCACCACCTTTTTTCTTCTTTTCTTTTACTTTTTTTTTCTTTTGGGTATATAAAAGGAAGGTGGATCTCTTCCAAATTCTGCACAGCCCAGGAATATTTGCTTTCCACGGCATGGCTCAGAACACAGAGAACTTACTCTTGCAAATAGTTCAATCCTCCAATCCACAAAATACGGGATCAAATTTTGAGGGTTTGTGTGGTTGAAATATACCTGCTGTCCTTGTTGAGGCAATTAAAGTGGTCACTGAACTTCCTACCGGAGCAGCTGCCTTAGCGTGCTGTGATTTCTAGCATTGCTTTCCTGGTGAAGGGGAAGCAGAGCACATTTGTGAGGGGCCCTTTTTAACACTTTCCAATGTGCAAAGTTAGGTGCATTTGGTTTCGTTCTCAAAATATGCCAGTTGCTTTTAGCTGGCACAGATGTTGCAAAGAAGTTATCTTGCCCAGATGTCTTGTGCTTTGGAAAACACTGCTGACAATGCCTGGATATGCCTTGAAGGATTATTTCTATTCTTGGGTCAAGGCTGAAAGGGAGGACTGTTTTCTTGTTTTCTGAATGTTTCTGTGCAGACTGAGCTGCAAGTGCAGGAAGAATGTAGAGGGGTAACCAATCTCAAATACTTGTTTGCTTCTCACTGTTTTTCAAACTGGAAGTCCTGAAAATGGATTAATTCACATTTTTGTACCTTGGCAACTGGGAACTTTCCAACCTAGTTAAATGGACCCTTTGTTTTGCTGTTTCCTTCCAGATGTGATAGGCAGATGAAAAAAAACTCAGGAAAAGCAGTGTGGTCATCTGAGATTTCTTCTAAGGATATTAACTGATTTTTCTGGAACTTGGTAGCAGAGTAGATTATCTCCTTCCATGCCCTTAGCCAAGCTGCTTTGTTTTGCCTTAATTTTGCAGACACTTACGCTTGCCCTTAGCCTTCATGCTGCACTACCTGTAGGAGTAAAAATCCTAAGTGCCAGGACAGCCAGATCTCCTGTGGACTGCCTCACCCTGCCACAGCTTACCGATCACCGAGCATCCACATCAAGTTTGTTTTGTTTGTCTTTACCATCGCATAATCTTCCCATGTAGAGAGTCTGCTGCCCACCTCTGGACAGTGCGTCTGTTAGTCTCCTCGGAAAACAGATGCACAATGTGTTTTCCAGTTGTGTTAGAATTGACCTAAGTACTTCAAAGATAGTACTAGAGACTCAACCTATAACTGTTAGTAGGAGCATACAGTAACGGGCAAGCAAAGGTGGTCTCTGTTGGGAAGAATTGTCAGTCTTAAGGTTTGCTTTTGTGCAACAGGTAACTAGTTGCTCTGCTCAAGTAAGCCTAGCCCAGATAAGAGTGCCTACACAAGAAAAGCAATTTGGTGGCATGGATCAGTTACAGTAGCAACTGGCAAATTATTATAAGGCTTCTAGATCTCTGCTGGTTTAGTTTCATTGGTGCTTGAGCTCCAGCCATCCTGTCTTACCGTTCCCTTCCTTAAGGCACTCCTTAATTTAAAGTAGGGCCATTTCTGTAGGGTAGGAAATCTTATTAGGATAAAACTCAAGCTAATGAGATGGTGAAGACCAGGCTTCTACTGAAACAGAGCATCAGCAGCCTCTTTTGCCCAGCCCTCTTCTCCCTCCTGTGCTCCTCACCCCCTTCTCTGCCAGACTTGAATAAAAGGGAATAATAAGCAATGGAAAGGAGCATGCATGTAACTGTAAACAGTTAAACATATTCCCAGTTTGAAGTTTACAAGGTTAAGTTGCCACTGGTGTGGTAGATCTCACAATTGGTTGCAGAGCAGTTTGTGCTGTGGGTAGCCAAGAACATGAGACAGTTCTGGTACTTTACGAATGTTTAAATCTGGTAAGTAGCTTCATGGGATCATTAAGTTTGGTAGGGACCTTAGGGGTTCGTAATACATCATCTTGATCAAAGCAGATTCAGCATTAAATTCGGACTAAGTTGCTTAGGGCTTTGTCCAGTCAGGTCTTGAAAACCTTGAAGGATAGAGATCCTACAGCCTCTGTGGGGCTCTGTGCTGCAACCAGACTGCCCTTGTGGTGGAATTATTTTCCTGATTTAGTTGGAATCTCCACAGTTTTGATTTATGTCCTGATAAATCTAAGCCCTCACAATGACATTGGCCAGTTCTCTTAGTATCCTTGCATGCATCCCATCAGGTCCAGTAGCCTTCTTTGCATTAAGATTTCCTCAAGAGACCCCTAAATGAATCTTCTTCCAGTACAGGTTGTTCCTCTGCTCCTTGAACCCTGCCTTGGTACTGGGGACCAAGCCCTGTGATGCATTGCCACCACTTTTGTGCCTTCCCATGCTGTCTGGAGCAGCGTTTCTGTGCACCCCACCCGAATCTTTGTCCCCTATCCCGCTAACTGCCAAAGTCTGCTAGTGGGAGTGCTCTGGGAGCTGCATTCCTCCTTACCAGCTAAATAGCTGTCCTTGCAGCAGATGACTTTGCAAAGATCCTGAGTCACTTGCTTTTGCATTACCTGTATTACTGTCCTGGGTGGTGTTTTGTGCAATCTCAAAGGGCGAAGGCACAGCAGGCATTCCTTTTATTAGTCGTGATAATCTTTGTTGGATCATTCCTTTTGCATGTATGTGTCAGTACTGGGAAAGGGGGCTGAAGAGGGAAATGTTGGCTCACGGTGGAGATGCACAGGAAGGTCTTTGGGTGAAGGGTGCTTGCCAGTGATTTCACTGTTTTTTCATGGAATTAATTCTACACTGCTGAGAAATAAATGTCTGAGTAAAGTTTTCTGACGTTCAGTGAACTGTAAATTCTCAGGGATTTGAGTAACATTCCAAAATAAAGGCAGTGTGTAAAGTAAATGCCTTCTGTGTGGCAGCAACACCTTGGACAGTGGCAGGGACAAGAATCTTAGATCCTCCATGTATTAATAAAAGGTTTCTTTCTGGTTTATTCAGCTTGACCTCACCAAACCCATTGAAGATCAGGGCCCTTTGGATGTGATCATACATAAACTGACAGATGTCATCCTTGAAGCAGACCAGAATGACAGCCAGTCACTGGAGTTGGTTCACAGGTTCCAGGTAAGTGGTTCTTTCATATTCGTCCTCCATTTCAAGCAGGAGGATGATCTTGGTGTAGCAAATTCAATCTGTTTCCTGTGCCATTGGTAGGTGTTGTGGTTTAACCCAGCAGCTGAACACCACACAGTCGTTCACTCACTCCCCTTCTCCCCAGTGGGATGGGGGAGGGAATTGGAAAATAAAGTAAAACCTGTGGGTTGAGATGAAGACAGTTTAATAAAACAGCAGAGGAAAACAATAATAATGATGATAATGATGATAAAAGAAAATATAAAACAAATGATGCACAATGCAATTGCTCACCACCTGCTGACCGATGCCCAGCCCGTCCCTGAACAGTGATTGCTGCTCTCTGGCCAACTCCCCTCAGTTTATATACTGAGCATGACATCATATGGTATGGAATATGCCCCTTTGGGCAGTTTGGGTCAGCTGTCCTGGCTGTGCCCCCTCCCAGCTTCTTGTGCACCTGGCAGAGCATGGGAAGCTGAAAAGTCCTTGACTGGTATAAGCACTACTTTTCAGCAACTAAAACATCAGGGTGTTATCAACATTCTTCTCGTACTAAATCCAAAACACAGCACTGTGCCAGCTGGTAGGAAGAAAATTAACTCTATCCCAGCTGAAACCAGAACAGTAGGGTTTGATGAAAAGAGCTCCCTGGCACACTGTTGTCCTGCTACTGATAGCGCAGCAAAAATAGTTTTGTCAGTTTAAAGTGGACTTGCACCTTTGGAGAGGTTTTATGTTGTATCAGTAAGGTTAGTAAGAACTGGTTTCCCACCAGATGTTGTCCTGATGTCATTCCAGGAGCACGAGTGCTGCTCACAAAGAGGAAGAGGTGTTTGCAGAGTCCTATACATGCATCTCTCCGTGTCAGAATCCACTAAGTTAATTTGGCCCGGTTCTGTCTAGTCTTCCAGTTCCTGGAATGCTAATTTCTGTAACATAAAGGTTACTGTGAGTAACTCTGTCCTCTAGTGCTGAGAATCCTGTTCTATTAGTTTTTTTCTTCTCAAGTTTACACTGAAGGTCAGATATGTGCAGGACATAGTGATACAGAGAAATGTTTTCCCAAAGAATTCCTATCTGTAGTCTGAATGCCACTGAAAATGACAAAGCAACACCTTTATTATTTTAAAATGTGTTGCTTCTGGTGGATATCTTTATTCAAAGTTATATTCTTTTCTTCTCTTTCAAAGAGAAGCAAAGTTTAAAAGGATACTTTCAGAATTTTATACTGAAATACTGGAAATTTGTATTGTGTATCAAGTGTTGTAGAGAGCAAAGGTATTGTTCACACACCTGGGGCATATGCTGCATGTAAGTCAGCATCCTTTAATTGTCAGTAGGTCTGTTAATCAATAAGCAAGTGTATCGTCAGAAAATCTCTCTCTACAGTAATGCATGTTCCATATATATTTTTCCAGACCTTAAGTAGTAGAGACATATGGAAATGAGGATAAATTTGTGAGCAAGTCAGATGGAGACGACATAGTTCCTTGCCTCCTGATTTGATTGGTAAATACAGTTGAACTTGTTCAATTAACAGTATGAACTCCTAAGAAGGATTGGATGAAAATCACCCTATGGATACAGAGCACTGTCTCATACCAGTGTTTTCTGTGCAGAGGACAGTGGTGAATTCTGCTCATGCTTTGAGGACTCATCTACATTTTCATCTTCATTTAATGTCCCTGTTGATGGTGGTTTTGAACACTGCCTAATTCCAGTTCAGCGTTGCTGTTCACAACGGCAAGCTTCGGCCAGATGTACTCTAGAAAGGCTGTTGCAGGGCTACACTAAGAAACGTGCTTAATTCTTCTTGCGAAATGCTTGGATCCAGCTGGCTGGTGCCTTCAAGGCCTTCATTTTTAGGAATATTAAATTTAACCGCAAATGACAGTAATAAAAAAGCCAAGAATGTTAGAGGAGAACTTGATGTTCTTTCTTCTCTCCCTGTCATTAGTTCTTGGTTGTACAGTAAACACTATGTTATCTAATATATCTATTCTTTTTGAGAATGCCATCTTCTTGCAAAGAAGTGCAATGTAATGCCAAAAAAATTAGAAGGGCATACTGGAATGTGGTTTCAGTCGCATGCTTTTCCAGTTTCATTATGTGATCTAGACCATCCCGTTTGCATCCCTAAGTTTTTGTTTTGCAAGCTGTAAATTAAAGGAAATCATATTAACTCCCTTTTGAGATCAATATGAGAAGTCCTTTAGGTCAACACAGAATGGCTGTCATAAGGATTTGGGGTTTGTTTGCTTCTGTTTGGAGCTCTGGTATGAATTTGTAGTAGCTATGATGACATCTGATTTAGAGACATCTGATTAAGTCACACTTATGTCTGATGATCTGTCTTTACAGATAGAGCGTTCTTCAGCATAGCCCAGTGGATGACTTGTCCACAACCATGTAGTTGAACTAGAATGTAGGTTTCCATTACTGGACTACACATATTTCTGACTGTGGGTATGCAATTATAATCTCTCAGTATCTTCAAAATTCATTCATTAGAAAAAGATCCTCTCCTAGTGCCTTCCAGACTGGGAGAGGATCTTTTTCTAGTGAATGAGATAGAGGGCAGGACCCCCTGTGAGCAGGCTTCTGTATTATATTCTCCCACCATAAACCAAGGCCTTGGGCTTCTTGTTCTGCACATGTGACTGAGTTGTGCTGCATTGCTGGCATGCAGGAAACTTCCATTGTAGTAGAGCATGTACCCAGGAGCCAGTGAAGCAGAGGAGAGGTCTATCAGCATTGAATTACATGCCGAAGTGTGTTTAAAGGGTATACCCTCACTTAATTTTGTATACAGGGCAGAATCTGGCAGGAAATTGCTCCCTGTCTCTATCTGTCCTGGATTATTTTTAAGGTATTGAAAACTATTAGAAATGAAGAGAAGTATATACCATAGAAAAAATTAATTGTAAGAATCCATTTGTATAATGTGTGCAGGGTGGGGTTGTTGCTTTGTTTTTTTTAAACTAAACCAAACTAAACTAAAACCAATGAGCAACTTAGAAAATGTAAAGTGACCACCTTGCAACAGAGCTACTTAGGTGTGTGTGATGTTGCCTAAGCACTGTACTATTTCTGGGAAAAAGTTCTGATGATCTCAACCAGACCAAACAGCACAAAATTCATGATGCTTATTTTCATGCTACTGAATATAAATGTAACAGCAAGATGATACCTGGCACCAAGCTTACTGTTGGCTCCATAAAGCAGTCTTCCAGGAAGCAGAGAGCAAAGGATCCTTGACCACAGGAGGAGGAATGATCTGCCAGGCTACATTTATGACCTTTGTAAGAATAACTTTTTTTCAGAGCTCTGTTGTAGAGGCCTTGACCATCTCATCTGCAAGAGCTGAGGAGGAAGCTGGTTCCACATTTACATGAGTCTGTGTGCCTGCTCTCTGGAGTCTGTGATGAACTGTTGTACAGTCTGGTGGAGAGTGCTAACAGTCTAGGAAGCCTCTTAGCATGCTCTTTTTGTCTTGTTGTTTAATGACTGTTCTCAATTGCCTTGTAAAAAATAATCGTTACAGGAGACTCTGAAAATGGCAAAGGAAGAGTTGCCTGTTGCCAGTGGCCTTTTTAGCTGCAAAAGACCTTTAGGGCTGAGCTCTCCGAGGTATTCGTACTAGTTGGATGTGGTCTGGACTGCAGTTTCTCAGGAGAGTATTGGTGGGTGCAAACCATTTGCCACTGCATTGAAGATCAGTGATGGGTGCCTAGTGATCTCATCCAAAACCGAAATGAAGACTGCATGCAGCACCTAGCATAGCGCATGAAGTGCAAAGTAGAGAAATCTTTCTATTTGCTTCATAGGACACTTAGATCTTTATTTTGGGGATGATGATTATTTGTAGAGATGATGATTAGTCTCACTTCCTACCCACTGTAACACTGGGCTGAACTGATTGAATATAGTTTATTTGTTGTCTACTAAAAAAATGTTACAGTCCTTGGTGATTCCTTCTTGACCAGAGGAACATGGAGAAAAGTCAGGGGGGAAGAGGCATAGTCCCCAAGGGTCCCTTTCACTTGCTGGTGCTCCAATTCCTGTCTTCTTGGTAAGAGAGAATGAAACTACCCCAGTTCCTGCCTTCTAGACAAAAGTTATGAGTTTGAAAAGTGAGAATGTTTTGGCTTGTGTTAGACACTGACTGGGGAATCTTTGTTATGCTCTTATTAGAGCAAAATACTCTCTGAGCAGCTGCCTGTCATAGCTGTACAGGGGCTTGAGTAGCTTAATTTATTGCAGCTTCATACTTCTGTTCCATTCAAAATGACGGCTCAAGTGATGGAAAATCAATAGGGTTATTAATTTGTCTTTCAGAGCTTTTTCTGAACAGGTTCTCTTTGCATTGGCCCTCTTACAAGATCAGAAACAGGTTTTATGTCTAGGCTTCTGCTACCAGATTGATGAAAATCTAGTTTCCTCCCTTCTGTCCCCACCCCTGCCACCCTTCAGCTGTTGACTCTTCCACTCTGAAGTTGTCCAGGAAGGGCTCTTCTATTCTTGATTCAGAAGCTTCCTTAGAAGGGTTTGGGACTGGGAGGAAGGAAAATTAGTGAGATATTTGGGAAGGGAGGGAGTTAGGGGATTGCTCTTGCTTGGAAGGGGAGAAGTGCATTGTTCTTGATGCATGATTGGTTTCTCCAGAAGTCTCAGCTGCGATAAGGTGATTTTGGTGTGTACTTGTGGAGATTATGCCAGTGGATTTTTAATGCTGTTTTTTGGGGGGTTTTTTCTTACTTTTTTTTTTTTTTTTTTAAAGATACTAGCCCATTCTGTTCCTGGTTTTCAGCTTTGTACTCTGAAAATACTTACAATTCTAAAATTTCTTTTCACATACTGTGCTGAGAAGAGTCAAGTGAAAAATCAAAGGAAACTATCAAATCTTAGGGTTTTTTTTCTTATTGGGGGACAGGGTAAGACAGAAAGTTGAAATGGTCTATTTGCACCTGAATTCACAGGCCAATACC